CTGATGAAAAACTAAGAGCGTATAAGCAAACTAATTGCATTAGTGCAGGCAGAACACTGTTCCTGCCAAATGAACGTTGATGGGAAGTAAGGAAACGTCATCTTAAAGTGACAATTTGTTGAACTGAAAAGACATTTTCTTTGAAACAAACATTGGCTACAGTTGGTCGGTTAGACACTGAAAAGCAAAGTATATAGGCAACCTTCCAAAAGGCTGTCTCTCGTATATTTAATACATTTCCGCATCGTGGTGCCGGCAAAAAAAACATAACTAGGTGGGGACTTTATTTATTTTTTTGCCATTTCATTTGGGCCACATGCCGGTGATAAATCAAGCGTGATTTTGCACACGGCACAGCTGTGCGTTAGGCCCCACTCACTAAGATGGATGCTTTAATACCGGATCTGTTGCCACTTGGTTTTTGAGCTAAAAACTATATTGAAGATATAATTTTGTGTTTCCTGCACAGGGGACCTGGGGACAGAATACAAACTCACAAAATATGACATGGTGCCATCTCAATAAATCGACACTCGCATTTTCAAGGTGTGCATACGCAGCACACAAACACAAAGACACACATATCCCTCTTCAGTCAATGAAATTGATTATCACCTTGGAAAAGTTCCATTTGCCTACCCTGTCCTATTCACCAACACAGCCAGGTGGCATTGTAACAATCGGATACGTGTATTTCAGAATTCGATTCGCAAGTGGACTCATCCCATCATTCCACCAGGGTGGATAAAACGAAGACCACTTTGGGGGAAGTCGACAGTGGGCGTACTATGGAGAGACTATCCATATTCTTGGTTCTTTCGGTAAAGGCACGTAGGAAGAACCAAGAATATGAATCCCTGCAGTCACGAAAGCTTTAAATCAAGACTATCCATACTTACGAAATATGTAAAAGGTTTCAATCACTGGCTCAGATCCGCCGTGAGAGATGAGCATCACCCAATGCTGACAATACCCCGGGTCACCCACTTATCCGGCATGGCCTCTGGGAATCTTACGTTAGATTTTCAGGAAAGCCCTGCTTTGCAGTGTTTGGTCAATTAATTAATGAGCATTTGGCATGTGTGGGGGAAATGCTGAAAAAAATAAGTAAATTTATGCACATGAGCGGATAACACTAAAAGATCGTGCACACAGGTCAGAAACATATTATTAAAGACCACAGCAGAGCATGAGAATTGCAGCTTTACAGATAATCCTGGGATGTGAACATTACATCCCTGATTTAAATTAAAAACCAATGAATATTTTTTTTTAATATTTGACCATAATTTTCTATTACATTTTCAGGGACTTGCAATGATCAACTTGCAATGTCACATGTAGGGGGACAGTTCAGAATCAAACGAATGACCTAAAAATAAAACAGCAATAATAAGGCCAATATCTGTGAAAGATAAAAATGTTCCTTTTGCGTTTACAAATCAAGATCAAAGAGCATCGTAATGTAAAATATATATTTATTTTTGTTTATTTAATGAACAATTACAGGCTGTCCTCGACTTACGAACGAGTTCCTATCCTGAGAAACGTTCGCAAGTCCATTTGCTCGTATCTCGGAACTCAATATTCAATCGTACACACGGTCAGTGTTATAAAATGTGTTACGGTTCAATAAAGAGAAGGACCGTTAAGCTCATAACAAGAAATATTGCAACATTTGCATGTAATACTGTAATGAATCCTGTCTTGTAGATAAAACAGAAAATTAAGTAACATGAAAAGAAAGAAATCAGTTTTATTTCACTTACCTTGAATGAAATGGTGCACTGTCGTTGTACATTATGCGAGACGCTGGGAATCATCACGTCACGCAGAGGGTTGCCCCGCCGAACAAAATAGTTCCGCGGTACGGTTCATAAGACGTGACCAAACGTTCACAATTTGGATGGTTACAACAACAATAACATCTTATGGCGGTTCGTTCGTAAGTGCGGCTGTTCGTAAGTTGAACTAGCTAGCAATCTCGGGGACTGCCTGTATATCTCGATCGTGCTGTTGAAAAACAAACTTTTGGAACTCCTTCAGGCAGGAGGATGACACCACGATAACTTCAGCACTCCCCCGTGCCCCTCTACCTACACCACACAGGACTGCTTCGCACAAGTTAAGCAATGGTTTGTCAGTAAACCAATCTGGTTACTGGTGTCAGCCCTCAGTCGGATTGAGCTGACATAAGTAAAAAAAAAAAAACTCAATTGTAAATGACGTGCAATGTTTGAGTAGCCATTTGGCGACTGTGCTGAAGCAATTAACTCTCGACTTGAGAGAAGGGATGACAGCGGGATTCGAACTCAGGTGTCCCCACTTTTGTGGCTCAGTGCTCCAACGGCCGTTCACCCCGCCATAACCCCTCCGCAGCCACCACATAGCTGGGACTGCTTAATGTTACACAGGGGCTACGTTGTATTGTGATTGGGCTATTACTGGTGTGTCAGTGTTTTATTGTTATGACATTTTTTTCTTACCTCTGATGTACAGCGCTTTGTGATTAGCAATTTGAAAGGTGCTTTATAACACTGAGTTTATTATTATTATAAACAGTTGCTGTGTTGACGGTGTGTGCTAGTTCTATATTTTACAGGGATTGTAATGACTATCTGCCAGACAGAAAAAATTTACCTCCGCTCGTGTTACTCTGCGGTGGGATTTGCATTTATAAATAAAGCAGGGAACGATTTTCACAAAATGCATTGTCAAGAGAACACATGTGTACACTGCTTTGAAATGCACGGTGGGTTAAACCAGTCTCATAAGTGAGGCTCGCTGAGAATTTCTTCTGGTCCCTCAAGATGAAATAATCGCTGCTAAAATAAACAACACACGGATGGGCCAAGTGAATATCAATTACCTGCAACTGCGCATCGTTCAGCGAGTGCACCAAAGCGCCACAATGCAAAGCGAATGGAAAAATAATTGAAAGTAAAGTTTGGCAGAAGAGAGTTTAGAATGCAACTAATAAGGTCATGTATCGTGTGAGGAGCCAGCCGCGATCCTATTCTAGCCAGTTTGAATGCGCAAGCAGCGTATGTGGTACATCGCAACGGATAAGCGTTACAGTGGCACGCGCGTACACGCACATACACGCGCTCGCATACACAGACACTATTACCAAGACACGAGCCTCCTGTTTTTAAGGTATTCATACATGTATTCATCTATGTTGGAGTCGATCTCTAGGAGATGTAGGCCAGGTTAAAATGCCACGTGCTGCTGATGCTGTGTGGCCAGGAATTGGACCATAGTAACCAGGATCATAGCGCAGCACAACGGACATTCTTATGCGTGCACATGGCCAGTGAATATCATTGCACACCCCCAACTCATTATTCTGATGACCCACCTTTCGTAAAACCGAAAATAGAAAAGTCTGAACCCCAGACAGCAACAGCTGCCTAGCACTCCTTTGCAATTATAAAGAATGGCGGCCTGCTGCAGGAGGCTGCTACGTGTGGGGCGTGCGAGCAGTACGGAGAGAGGGCAGGATAATGAGACGGGCACTAGGGTGGCAACCGGATGTAGGGAACCGAGGGGGAAGAACTGAAGCCAGAAAGAGGTGGTGAAACCGTGACACCAGACCTTTGAAGTCAGGTGTCGTCTGTGAAACGTTTGCAGGAACTGGAAGAAGGGAGGAAGCGATGGAGAGGTGTGGTCGTACACCAACCGAATTGGCCACAGTGACCTCTTGACTATTGACTTGCCTCTTGCTGCAACGTAATGAGAACGCTGTGCTAATGTGATGTCTGAAGACTGAGCAGGGACTTAGTGAAGATGCAAAGGGCTTAACAAGGACAAATGAGGTGGCACATTAATTGATATTTAGAGGGAAGACGCTCGCTCTCCATGGGACACCCAGGAGCGAGCGGGTTGGATAGACGCATTCATTAGCACTCAATAGCACTAAAGACTGGGTCATAGCATTGGCTGCAACGCAGTGCAAAATCCAAACACACCATCTTGTGGCACAGGGAGAATGTTCATACCAAGCTATCAGTGTGAGTGTAAAACAGGGTAGCATGTAGCAGGAAGATATAAACAAAATCAATCAAACGCAATGGAATCCTATAGAGGTATTGATGTGTGTGTGTATATATATTTTATTATGAGATATACTGCATGAACACTCGTGAGCTGGGTTCACTTTTGCGTGGACCTGCCCTGTGATGACCCGGGCAAAATGAATCTCGCACACATCTGGCCATACGAGGTCAGCCACTCAACTCGCGAGGTGTGGGCCACACCTCCCCTTCGAGTGCCGTCTCCGCCATGAAGGGGGTGCTCAAAAACTCAGCGGGTAGTGGTGTTGAAGGGCACTCAGCTCAAAATCAGTTCGACGTGAACTCGAATTCTAATCGCGGCTAGATTTGGCACAATATCCCTGCGAGATCAATACCAAAAAAACTACATTGTGAAAAGTGCTACGGAGATTCAGGGCAAAGCCATAAAAATGTGGAACTTGCACTCCTGGTTCCAAATGCCAACAGTGAGGAGTAGCACCTATTTATCTTTTTTGAGAAGTTGATGCTTTGCCTTTGAACTTGTCCTGAATGTAAAAAAAGGAGCATCTGCCTTCAAAATCTATAATGTTAGCCAAAGTACACACCACAGTCAATCCACTCAATCGAGAGATGGGGCAGCTTTCATATCCCGCGATGGCAAGTCCACATTCCCATGGCGGGAACTAGATATTTTCCACGTGTTGACATGTACTTATGCAATTTGAACTTATATACCTAATCTATTTTACGTAATTTATTTTTAGCAGTGATTTTCTTTGGATGCCTATACTTTGCACTCAGATGGTTTTGTATTGTTTGTTGCTGTAGCCGCCCCTACTGGACATCTGTAAAAAAAGAGCAGCTCATCGGATTTTTCCAGGATAAATAAAGGTTCTTATTTTGTGGGAGAGAGGGGGTGTTGTGGTGGGGTCGGTCAGCGTTAGAGGTGGACTCTGGATGATGGGGGCGGGGAGGTGGCCTTACCAGGGCATCGAACACGAGGCGGTCGTAAACCTCACTCTCCGAGTTCTCCATCATGATGTTGAAGAGTGCGTCCAGTGTGTCCTGCAGGAACTGTTCACCACAGCGGGAGGCCGGGGCGGGGGGGGGGGAACAGGGCGGCAACGTGAGGCGACACGAACACGCACAACAACAACCGCCACCACGACGCTTGTGCCAGGCTGTGTGCACTTTAAGGCCACGGGAAGTGTCGAATGCCCCCGCTAGCAGGAGGTCACGGGACTGACTCGGGCGCCATAGGTTCACGTCCACCGGCCACACGCAGCAAGAGGCAACAGGGCCACACAACACCAAGACGAGGTGCGACACCGCGCGTTGCAGGCCCATGCGCTGCTGTTGGTCGTGGGCACAGTGCGAGCCCTTGCCTTGACCACCTCCTCGCCGTTGACCTTCATGAGCTGCCTCAAATTGGCCTCCAGGATGTTGGGGTTGGAGCGCCACTTCAATAGCCCAAGCAGTTCCACTGTGAAACAGAGACCACCACCACCACCATCATCATCCACTGTATGCTGGGGATTTACTGATGGCCTAATAATAGTACCAAGTAAATACTAAAACCTGGCAAATTTTGCTCGTTGCTTATATTGTTTATCAGTACTGTGTGGATATTTAACGTTTTATTTGATCTGCAATCACTTCCTTACTTATTAATGATCTCAAATACCCCTTGGTTCTGGCAACTTGAATGTACAACTGCATGGGAGAAATTATACATAAAACAAGATGATGGGGATGATGATAGTGATGAAAATTGAATTGTCACCCTATTTCAACAATCATGGGGCAGCGCTCATTAACATCAATGGCCCTGAGCCACTGGCAGACATTGCACATTCCTACGGCAGGTTCCACTATGTCCATGAGAGAACCCATTTGACTTTCTTTCAAGTAATATTCATTGTATGAACCATAGAATGGTGATGAAAAGGTGAAGTCTTTCACCATCCTGGCCTAAATACATGGCCACTCGTAACCTGTAATCCAGGTCGGCTGGAGCTCTAACGAGGGCACTCCAATTAGCACGGCTGACTATGTAAGGTGCGAAGGAAGTTGAACATCCATACACACTCCACTTTTGGAAGGTCGGTTTGCAGTCAACTCAGCCCATCTGAGTACCACTTATGTGGGAAATCAACAGCATTTATTCTATGGATAGAATGGGCACCACGTTATACATGTGGAATTTTCCATCACTTGTTCAATACCACAGATAAGCACTGGCGAATTCTTATTTGAGTAAAGATATACTTTAACTTTCGAATTACAAGTAGGTTAGAGCCCACAACTAAGACACCGACGTCTCTTCTTTGAGACGGAATGAGACAAACCATGCGTCATTTTTTGTGTATATATGTAAAGGTCACGCTCACCCACGTATGTAAACATCTGCTGGTTGCTGTAAATCTCACGACAAACATACGCGGCTTCACAATTTCACACGCATGATTTGCTCACAAATTTAACGGCCATGCAACTTGAGACATGACACGAGAGATAAAGCAACGGCCAACACTCGTTAGAGCACCACGACACACTCGGGCACTTTTTAATTAATTTTGCGACAATCACTAAGCGCCACGAATGATTAAAAATAAAAAAAAACTGACGAAACGAGACCGGAAACACGACAACAACTCGGCAAACGGGTGACCGGTCGGTCTCACCACCGCCGCCAAGTCACGAACGGATTCGGGCATGGCGTGGGCGGAAAACGCGGTGCGAAAACGAGGGCGGGGGGGGGGGGTTACACCCACCGTTCTGTGTGAGCTTGGTGGAGCAAACGAGCGTGGAGATGTAGAGGCGCTCCTTGCTGACCGCGAGGCTGCTGGCAGGCAGCGGCTTGGACGGTGACTGCAGGGTGGAGCGGTCATCCATTGACGTGAGGCCCAGATACGCCGACGCGTCCTCCAGCTTCTTAGTGTCGCCCTGCGGGGAGCGAGCGGGAGAGGGCACGAGGGTCGAAGGCTTGAGTCTACTTGCCTGGCAGAGCGATGTGGGGGGGGTCACAGCGAAGAAAGTGTCCGTCGTGCTGGCTACACGGGTCAGTTTAAAAATTTTAAGCGCATCCCCCGAGCGAATGAGTGAGTGTCCACGCTCATCTCAGTCTCCGGCTCTTAAGGGGGCGCTGAAGGATCCCCGTAAAGCATTTAACAGAGTTGTGCCCCGTGTGTTAAGGGAAGACGGGTTGGTAAGGAAATATTTCACAGAATATCTGCTGAAAAATTCTTAAAAGTCACACAATGTCATACACTCCACAATGAGATTTGTTGCCACGTGGGGGTCAAACTAAACTTTTTTTTTTATTCTCAGAGCCAGAATTTTGTCAAATTAATTGCAAAACCAGTTTTAATATGATGGGATTTTTGTGCAGTCGTTGGTGATCAGGCCAATATTATAAACTCACTACACTTGAGAATCTCAGCTAATCATGGGTGGATGCCCAGAATGGAATCCAGGATCTTAGGGCCATTTCTGTGGCTCCACCTTCCAAGCCACCCGGCCACCTCAAGTAACTGCCATTTTTAACATGCAAGGTGTGCAGGCTATCGATGGAAACGGCCACCATTGGAAAATAATGATGCAATCTTTTAACTTGGGGCCATCACATTGAAAGGCCGCTGCTGATTTTGCATAACGATGATGCTTTTCTTGTCATTTCAGGCAGGTTCGCAGGCAAAGGTGAGCAGAGAGTTGAATAGGACGGAGAAAAATAAGAGTAATTCCTCCCGTGTAATGCGAGGACCCCCCCCCCATCAGTGGTGCAGAAGATGTATCACTGCAAGAAGATGGACTACTCTCCCTATATCACAATCTTACTCAACTGTAGTGCATTCATTACGACTTATCGAGCTGTCATGGTAGACTCAGAATGCCTACAGAACCCTGTATTCCACACCGGATGTTGTGCATTAACTTGCGAAAACTGTTATAAATCATCCAGCATGCACCTGTCTTCACCCACCCGCCCCGCAGTGCTCGGAGACATGGCTCGTCTTTGTTTGCACGTGTGCGTCGTGGGTAAAGGTGCAATGCATAACGTTTGCTTAATATGCGAGGGAATTGTGCAACCTCTGCGTGTAAACGTGTGCACACGCACAGTGTGCGTGCGATTTGTGCGTTTACAATTACTGAATAGTGTACAAGTGTGACTGACTTAGTGTAATGTGTTGAAACGTGTGCGCGTAGTGTAGCGTGTATTTGCGTCATACGTCAGGGTGTTGTGTGTGTAATGTATGTGCTTACGTGACGAGTGCATTCGATGTGCGTGACAAGTGCGAACGGTGCATATATCTGTGCGCAGCGTGTACGTGTGTATCGTGTGCACACGTGTAGGTGTTTGTGTGCATCACGTTTGATCTGCAGGTATGTAACGATGCATCAATTCAGACCAGAATCGATCGTGACATGCAAGATGCGCGAGCACAAATTGCGCGTAACACACTATTCATTTTCGCAAATTGTGAAAATGATCCGATAATGCTATAGATGACAAAGAAAACCGTCCAAACAAAAGTGGGAGAAAAAAAACCCAACGACAATGAGATGGGAGAAGAATGAAAACATTATCAACGCCCAAATCTGAATTGTGAACCCACATCATGACAATTCATGAAGTTGCACGTAGAGTTGACTCGTGACATGCCCCAGAAAACGTGTGCGTGTAACGTGTGCGCGCGTGTGTACATGTGAAGCATGGGTGTAAATGTGTTTATTGAGCGCGTGTGTAATGCGTGTGCAACAAGTGCACGTAAGAATGTGGTGTCTGTGTGTGTATGTGTGTATAAAGTGTGTGCGTGTGTAGTACGTGTGTATAACACTCGTGTAGCGCGTGTTTGTGCGAAGAAGAGTGTGTGAGCACAAACGTGTCACGTGTACAGTGTTATGTATGTATATTGAGCTTCTTACGCACCGTACGTAGCCAACTGTGCTAATCGGAGGTGCGGGGAAAGACAACAAACTATGTATAAACGTTCCAGAGTTGTGGACAACTTATACTGACGAACTGCATAAAAACAACGCGCAGTTTTGCGTCAAGTTTATTTTCAACAGCGTAACCAGTCATAGGGATGGACACACGAATACACGATTCGACTTAACAATGGGGTTTCTACCATTCTGTACGAAAAACGTATTCCTGTATCCCTTTCAAAATGCTCTGCCTGCCTTCCGTGCATAGTGTGTGCAATACATACTAAAACGTTAACACATTTTATCTGTACGTGCACCCTTGCGCATTTATATACATTTGTGTCTCATTGAAGTGGAAGCAGGTGGTGACATCTGCAGGAGTACACGGCACGGAATAACGTACAGTGAGGGAAAAAAGTATTTGATCCCCTGCTGATTTTGTACGTTTGCCCACTGACAAAGAAATGATCAGTCTATAATTTTAATGGTAGGTTCATTTGAACAGTGAGAGACAATAACAAAAATCCAGAAAAACGCATGTCAAAAATGTTATAAATTGATTTGCATTTAAATGAGGGAAATAAGTATTTGACCCCCTCTCAATCAGAAAGATTTATGGCTCCCAGGTGTCTTTTATACAGGTAACGAGCTGAGATTAGGAGCACACTCTTAAAGGGAGTGCTCCTAATCTCAGCTTGTTACCTGTATAAAAGACACCTGTCCACAGAAGCAATCAATCAATCAGATTCCAAACTCTCCACCATGGCCAAGACCAAAGAGCTCTCCAAGGATGTCAGGGACAAGATTGTAGACCTAAACAAGGCTGGAATGGGCTACAAGACCATTGCCAAGCAGCTTTGTGAGAAGGTGACAACAGTTGGTGCGATTATTCACAAATGGAAGAAACACAAAAGAACTGTCAATCTCCCTCGGCCTGGGGCTCCATGCAAGATCTCACCTCGTGGAGTTGCAATGATCATGAGAACGGTGAGGAATCAGCCTAGAACTACACGGGAGGATCTTGTCAATGATCTCAAGGCAGCTGGGACCATAGTCACCAAGAAAACAATTGGTAACACACACAAGGACTGAAATCCTGCAGCGCCCGCAAGGTCCCCCTACTCAAGAAAGCACATATACATGCCCGTCTGAAGTTTGCCAATGAACATCTGAATGATTCAGAGGACAACTGGGTGAAAGTGTTGTGGTCAGATGAGACCAAAATGGAGCTCTTTGGCATCAAATCAACTCGCCGTGTTTGGAGGAGGAGGAATGCTGCCTATGACCCCAAAAACACCATCCCCACCGTCAAACATGGAGGTGGAAACATTATGCTTTTGGGGTGTTTTTCTGCTAAGGGGATAGGACAACTTCACCGCATCAAAGGGACGATGGACGGGGCCATGTACCGTCAAATCTTGGGTGAGAACCTCCTTCCCTCAGCCAGGGCATTGAAAATGGGTCGTGGATGGGTATTCCAGCATGACAATGACCCAAAACACTCAGCCAAGGCAACAAAAGAGTGGCTCAAGAAAAAGCACATTAAGGTCCTGGAGTGGCCTAGCCAGTCTCCAGACCTTAATCCCATAGAACATCTGTGGAGGGAGCTGAAGGTTCGAGTTGCCAAACGTCAGCCTCAAAACCTTAATGACTTGGAGAAGATCTGCAAAGAGGAGTGGGACAAAATCCCTCCTGCGATGTGTGCAAACCTGGTGGCCAACTACAAGAAACGTCTGACCTCTGTGATTCCCAACAAGGGTTTGCCACCAAATACTAAGTCATGTTTTGCAGAGGGGTCAAATACTCATTTCCCTCATTAAAATGCAAATCAATTCATAACATTTTTGACATGCGTTTTTCTGGATTTTTTTGTTGTTATTCTGTCTCTCACTGTTCAAATGAACCTACCATAAAAATTATAGACTGATCATTTCTTTGTCAGTGGGCAAACGTACAAAATCAGCAGGGGATCAAATACTTTTTTTCCCTCACTGTATGTTGCCTGTGCAGGGACTGCGTGCGTGTCAGTGTGTATTTGGAGATCACGACCGATAACAGTGGCAATTACTGCAACTGGTCCTGGGCTTCCCCTCGGTCGACTCGGCCTAACACGAGCGCTTGGTGCCGTGCGTAAACATCGGCACCGGTGTGGGCCACCCAGCCCAAGTGTGCCGTGCCACCCTTCACAGGTGCTCGCGAACGGCACTTGCCCATACAGCTCAAGGTCCTTGTCTTGTATTCGGCGCGGTGGTGCAGTGGTTTGTGAAGTGTTCCGTGTCACTTGCAATGTCGGTAAAAATTCCCAAACATGCGATGCTGGAGAGAAAAGTGATATATGACCCTGTTTTGTGTCTTTGCTAGGTCAACTCAGCCTTAAATTAGTGTGATGTGATATGAGAATATTGTGTGTATAGTGTGTAGACTCCAGCGTGTGTAGAGTGTGTGCAGTTGGCATGTGCGTGTAACGACTGCCAAGTTGAGTGATGCATGTGTATAAATGTGCTAAAATGGTGTTAAGTGTATCGAAAGATATATTAAAACACAATGTGCAGACTTCTTTAACTTTGCTTATCAGCAAAGTAACCAGTCACATCGATGAACCTGTTCTAATGCACTATTAGACTTAACAATGGGATTTTTCTCTAATTTCGTGTATGGATGTATTATTTTTTTTCAAAATGTTCTCAAAATGCCCTGCCTGCCTCCCGTGTGTAATGTGCATACGTAACGCACACTAACACCTGCACCAATTGTTTTTTTTCTGTATGTGTGCATCTTGCGCATTTATATCACTGGTTAAGCGGAGAGAGCCCGTGACTTCATTCGAAAGATATACACGCAAGAAGTACGGAATGTGTTGCGTGTGTGCGTTTAATGTGCGTGTCGGTAGGTGCGTGCGAGGGCAGTGTAAATGAGTACCTGGCGCGGTGTGTAAACATCGCCACTGGGGGGGCAGCCGGGCGTGGTGCTGGCAACCCATTCCCTCGTGTACCGTTCCGGCCTTCATAGGTACTACT